AGAGAGAGAGAGAACCTGAAATGCAAACACGGAACTCTGTCCACCCCATTTGCGCCATGGTGATCTCAGACTCCCAACCACCCTTCTTGTCATTTTCTGCGAGTTGCGTAGACACCCGCTCCAGCTCAACCTCAACAGCCTTGAAGTCCCCGTGCTTCAGCAGCAATTCCCGTAGTTTCTCCCCTAAGGTCTTGCAGCAGCAGATGCATGCAGGTGCAAGCAGAGGCCACAAGGGGACTAAAGGGACTTTAACCTCAGGCTAAGCATCGGCCATCCTTGTCCCGGAACATTTTCATGGCTTGCTCGGAGCATTTCAATGCTCCCTTTTTGCTCGGTGTGAAATAGCGGTTCATCCTGGGACGGGCTTGGTTCAGACACTAGTATTAGTATATCATAAATCTTAATTGAACGACTGTTCGGTGTATTTACTGTATGCGTTGAGGGACCTCCAGTAGGTGCCATCTTCATACATCGAGGGGGCACTTGAGGCAGAAGAGCGGGCTGGGGATGGGGGTGGTGCCCGCTTGGGCGGTGCTTTTTTGGTGGAAGGAGTACTCAGAATCTGGGTTGGGGTAATGGCACCATGATCGTTGGCTGGGGGCTCGGGCTTCTGAGCTTCTGGAGCTTTCCGCTTAGCACCACCAAGAGGAGTTGCCACAGGCCGGGGAGGAGCAACTCGAATAGCTTCTGGCACAGACACACCCACACCTGGGTGGGCATGCCCGGGCAAATAGTGTCCACCCATAACCGCATCATGGACAGGAGCACCACTTGGTAGTCCTCCAATTTAGTGTGTTCAATCGAGCAGCTACATGGCAACCACACCACATATAGGAAACAAACTGGTATTTTAAAATCGGCAATTGGTCCTGCAGCCTCAGCACTATCGAAGGCAGCCAGCTCCTGTTGAAGTGCAAGGACACGGTTGGCCTGCTCCTTAGGTCGAAGGATTGCAGGGAGGTGCGGCTCATCTATCACACTACAGGATGGACAACAACATGTGTTCCAGCCTAGAATCAGCTATCTCTTGGTCCAGCGTAGAGTCCGAGGCAGTTTTGAACTGGTTCTCAACCATATTCAGGCCCCGCTCTAGGGACTTGCAAGTGATGCTTCTCTGTACAGCCATGAGACCGTGATCAAGCCTTGATCCTTTAGAGCATGCTAGCATGGGTCGTGCATAGTGTTTTGGGTGTTGAGTGGTCTACTGAAACGAGCAAAAATGCAGAAATCCCGATTTGCGCACGTTTGCGGGTTTTTGCGCCCGTTTTGCGGGTTTTTGCGCCCGCTTTGCGGCTAAAACTGCCCGAGCCTTTGCGGCCAGAACCACAAAGTGCCTCAAGCCCCAAAACAGCCACTACCTCCCAGCACGTGCAGCATCCAGGTCATCTCGAAGAGGATGGTCCCGAAGCACCTAATTAAGCGCTCGTGTGAGCATACTCCACCCTTCTACTAGTATACAAATACTAGCTATCGAACTATGTGCGGTTCAGGAGCACTGGCCATGAGCTGATCATGCAGGGTTGCCATTGTGCTCTGCCACGATTGGGGTACTTTGAGGTGTTTGTTTTGGTAGAGGTACTCCCAAAGTTGGACTAGCTCTGCGTCATCCCATGTATCGCCCAGCTCTAGCTCACAGAATATTTGCCGGTCTGATAGATCAGGATCGACATGCACTTTCTGTCGCAAACTCAGGCGGGGGGTTGGAGATGACCGGTCCTGCTCCCAGAGTGCGAAGAGCTGCTTGCCGAAGCACTTCGTGAAGATCCTAGGGGCACAGGATGTTTGGGATTTCTTAGACCCATCTATCCCGGTGTTTTGCCGAAACCTTGGAGACTCAATTGAGGCCCCGACCCACTCTCCCTCAAAGCCTGCTTGTTCCCCACAAACTTTCGCACACCATGATCATCCGAATAGCGGCCTATGGTGACGATCAAAAGTTGCTGGGCTGGTCGGCTTTCATGCACAGACACTGTTTAGGCTTCGGACGGACAGTCTTTATGCTGGTAGCTTCCCGCATTTGTCGGCTAGGAGGAGACGGGTCCTAAGGCAAAGGCAGAACAATAAGCTATAGGCCCCCTCATGCAAGCTACAAGTTTGCGTAAGCCCGCTGCCAAACCCTCTGCAATGATCCATGAATTAGTCCACAAGGCCGTTGGCTTGGGGCACGGAGCTCCATATCTCTGGAGCCAGCAACTCCTCTTGAAGACCTGGGATTTGGGCTTAAGTTTCAGACTTGTGCAGGGCTGTGATCGGGGTCAACGATTTCATGTCATGTTGCAGGATAGAGCTTGGGGACTTGTACAACACGGGTCTCAGGGCTTGGGGCCACAAGCTGGGACATCCTATCGTGCCCTCACCGACCATATAAACTGTACCTTAAAGGTGTATGAGCCATAACCATGACCCCCACACAAGCCAAGAGGCATAGCAAATGTTGTTGCAAAACCAGGAGAAACGGCGGTGGTAGGGGAATACTTGGTCACTGCTTCGGGGCTGCTCAATGACGAAGATGCCGTGCACTGCTAGGATGAGGAGCAGAAGCAGGACCAGTCTCAGGGGGTGGCGGTACAACCGATCTCTATATGATTCGGGTTTAGCTGGGGCTTTATATTATGTTAACATATAAAGGATGATTTCATATCAAGCATACACGGGTTGAGAGGTTTAGGGACTTTAGCTTGTTTGGGGCTTCGTGCTTACATGGGTGCATGTGCATGGTAAGTCTGTGTTATATATATATATAATATGTATATATATATAGATCTCTCTCTTTCTCTTTCTCTCTATATATATATATTATACACACACGCTCTCTCTCTCTCTCACATAACATAAATTTTAAAGTATGCCTGTGAAATATATATATATGCATGCATGCATGTATACACATGTATATATATATATATAAATACACATATACACATGCAACACGATACATATTATATATTATATATACACACACACACATGCGTGGTCTCTCTCTCTCTCTCGCTTCTCTCTCTCTCTCTCTCTCCTCCCTCTCTCTCTCTCTCTCTCTCACTCAAAATTACTTGCACAGATGGCCTCAAAGTCTTGCAGGAAGATCCTCCTACCCAAGTCACTAGAAAAATCAAATTTCGCCCTAGGTTGGGTAGTCAGAACTGGACAAATCACCTTGCGCCCTAGGTTGTGTGGCTATTTTGGTGACCCAGGCCTAGCCATACATAAGTTTGCCTCTTGGACAAAGCCCAAGGAAGACCTTCCCAACGGATTGACAGCCGATCGAAGTGTGGTCCCTCGGCTGCATAGGCACCAGCTCGAACAAGTGGGAGCCAGTAGATTGAAGGCATTGGGGCCCTCCCGCATGACACAAGCCATGGTTAACCTCAGGTATGTACAGTTGAACATGCAGACACGTATACATGCATATGCATGCACACAATCCTGAAACTCAGCCCTTTGCGCAAACCCTCCTGGCGACAAGAAGTCCATGGCATTGCTGTCGCTGTAGATCTTGTCTATCTGCACACATGCCTTTCCTGCATCGCGAAACACCTCTGTCACAGCGCCTCGGCCACTAAAGACCTCCAGCATCTCAATCTGCATCTGGAGGTCGATGTTCGATGTCCACAGCAATAGCAAAACCTAGCCGAGGCGGGAGGGGCACGGTGTGGAGACGTCATATATTACATGCATACATGTTTGCAGTGCAGCTAGAGCACACATCCGATGAAAACCTGCAGCCAACAGAAACGATGAATTGCAAGCTACACTAGTACCGTGTGGATTACAGCTTATAAATTACGAGTGCACCTTGGGGGCCTGGAGCTGTACGAGATTTGGCAGAAGGGATTCCCATCTCGGCACCGGCATGCTAGCCCGTGCTAATCTAATTTTTTGCAAGCTAACTTTGAGCCTCCGGGGGTCCAAAGTGTTGTATGCTTCCCTCACATGCCGCCATCTACTGTATGCAGCAGACTGAGCCATGGTATGTTACAAGCACGGCAGGTGTTCCACGAGACAGAGACCGGCAGGCCCATCTCTCCACCATCTTCGGCATGATGCACCTGCGATCGTTTAGGTTTAGGGGTTCTGCGGGCTTTGTACACT